TAGGCCACATCACTACCAAGTTGCTTGGAGCAACTTGGTATCAAGTTTCTCCATTTTTCTCATATATATATATATATAGAGAGAGAGAGAGAGAGAAATGGATATGCTTGGTACCAAACACAAATTTTTGTGCTTGGTAATGAGGTGACATATTCCCCTCCACTCATTGAAATCGGGACCCACATTCACATAGGTCGGGAAGTGGTTGGAAATTAAAATGAGTGGATGGGAATAGAACACCTCACTACCAAGCATAATATTTGTACTTGATACCAAGCGTACACATTTCTCTCATATGAGAAAAATGGGTATACTTGGTATCAAGCATAAAAAGTTATGCTTGGTAGTGAGGTGACATAATCCTCTCCACTCATTCAAATGGTTGCATAGCCTCATGCACTCCTCAACATATGTGAATGTGGTCCCCCATTTGAATGAGTGGATGGAAATGAGTCACCTCACTACCAAGCACAAAAAGTTGTGCTTGGTATCAAGTTCTTCCATATTGCTCATACACACACACATGACACGGATATATATATACATATATATGTGTGTATATATATACATATATATGTGTGTGTGTACATATATATATGTTATTTGGAACACCTTTCATAACTTATTTTCTATATGTATGTGTGTGTGCGCGCGTGCGTATATGTTATTTGGAAAATTTTCATAACTTCTTTTCCATGTAGCTTCTACCAACCTTTATCATGTAGACACAAATTAAAAGTCAGGTTATGCAATTAAGCCCATCAACCCCATTACTTAACAATGAGCCCTTAGAAACCTTAGGCCCACAACCTAAGGCCCAATAAAGCCTAAAAGGTCCAAAAGGCTCAAGTCCAAGCTCAAGTTTTTTCTCACCGAAGATTATTAGATTAATTAGTGCTCAGCTCAAACTCATGCTAAAATAAACATGCTCATGGCCAAGCCCAAACTATAATGCCACTTTCATTGTTGATATCTAGTATATTAAAAGTCATGTGCTTTACCCTGATTCACGCAGCGCTAAGGAGCTACCTATTAGATCCATAAGAGTCTGTCAAAACCAGTGTTTGGAAAAAGCTTTTTTGAAACTCGCTTCAAAACTTATTGAAGACTAAACACTTCAAAACTCAAGAATGAAGCTATTCATCTCATGAAGCTTACGCCTCATCGCTTAAAGCATAACTGAAGTGTGTGAAAAGGATTTAGTATTAATATTAAAATGCACCCATGTATCTTCAATATGATCATGTGAGTATAAATAAGATATAGATTTAATTCATGTAGCTTACTTTATTGTGATTTGTGTCTATACTTCACATATTTGATTCTTATTTATTAATCAGGACATGAATGTATCTATTTATAAATTATTATACCACTATATATTATGAGTACATAACATATACAAATTTTAAAATTAAAATGCTTAAACTCATAAGTCACTTTTGGGTAAAGTTTCAAACTTCTATATTTTGAAAAGTATATTTATTTGCACAATCATTAAGTAGCTCAGTGATAAGAGAATTTTTGGAGATCTAGAGATTATGGTTACATCTAGTATTCAAGGTTTATTAAAGGAAAGCATGAACACTAATTAATCTAATAGTCCTCCATAACATGAAAATTGGGCTTGGGCTTTTTATAGTTTTTTAGTTGTCAAGTGTGGATTGGGGCTAATCAGGCTAAAGCGTCATGTGGCGCTTTGATGGCGCATTTTGCAATTAGTACGTAGGAATCAAAGAATAAATGTGGAGTTGTGTAGGCGCCTAGATGAAGACTATACAAGCTGCCATGTAGGCTCCTCGATAGCGTCTATGCAATCTTCTATGCACACAGTTATGAAATACCCGTGTTGCTACATGTACAAATCTCGGAACTTTTGGACTTGATGCAAAAGTTGAAAATGTGTTTTTGTACAATCTAGACTAAACTGTTGGGGTTCTAAGATATTAATGTAGCATTGAACTATACTAGGATTGATATTGCTTGTTACAATAATTGGACAGACTCTTGGGCTACTAAATTAATGGTACAACAAAGGGTGATCTTTGGATTGCATAAATTAAACATGTATACATGGAAGCTAGGATAAATGAAGTAAATCAAGTGCCCAACCTTGAATTTGTTAATTACAAGGGACCTACTTCTCTATGCATCGAATTTTGAACCTTGGATCAATTTGTTTGCGATTTCACATGTTTTTATTGTATAAAGAAATAAATATAAAAAACATTTATATATTAGAAAATATTAATAAATTATGTGTTTAAATATCTACACGTTATATGTATTTTTAGTGTTTAAATAGTGAAGAATTATTAAACCATTTTTTTATTACTCTATGTTACATGATTGAATGCTTTGGCTCCGCCCTTGGTCTCTTGGCCTGTCTTTGGGGTCTATAAGAAGAGCTTAGAATCCAGGTTCAAAAGACAGAAATCCAAAGATTTCTGCAGATTATAATAGACTCATATGATATGGCGTATTCTAATAATCCAATGCTAGCCTATCAAGCTCGTTCGTGGAACCCGTCCGCACCTAAAGTAGCTCGTAGGAGTACTATGCTCGTTGTTCCTGACAGCATACTCCAGGCGTACAAATTTCAGTCATGAACGTTTCAAAATCTCCCCCTTTCACCAACTACTCCAACAGATCAATCCAACAACCACAACTTTAACACAACAATTATCAAGAACTATGATTATGACTGACCGATGAAAATCAAATTATCATCAAACAAATACAAGATCAATAATATTCAACTTCGTTCAGGCAACAAAATTGTAAAAAAAAAAGTCACCTTATTGACATCGAGATTGGGAGGCCAGTAGTGAAGGAACTTGAAGAAGTAATCGAACATATCTTCCCCCGATCCAAACTCCTTCGGTCCCAGCTTCGCACTCGAAGGCTTCTCCTCTTCTTTCCCCTTCATCTCGATCTCTGCCTCCTTCGTCGACTCATCGTCGACCTTCGGCTTCTTGGGGATCTCGTCCCGGTTCTCTTCCTCCTCTTCTCTGCCCCTCTTTGAAGCTAGGGTTTCGGGACCAGAAGAAGCTTCCATGCGTTCGGTCTTCTCTTCGATTGACTGGGGAGCTTCTGAAATTACTTCGGCCATGATTTAGGTTGGGCGACGAAGGAAGGGAAAATGGACCAGTCGAGTTCCCAAAACCCTAATTTTTAGGGTTTCACCGAATTTGGGGGTGATTTTATATCGAAGAAATTTTCAAAATGGGCTCATTCATTACTTTATTGGCTAAATACCCATATTGGTATTTTAATTCAACCCCATTTCCCAACAAGGTATTTTAATTAGGAAATTCGGCGATAAGACATTTTAATTGAATAAAAGTACCATTTAGGTCCTTTTTCTCGTCGGCGGCCACTTTTCCGGCGAAAACTCATCACGTGCGTTGCACGTGGGGGATTAATATGTGTTTAAGATGCTGATGTGGCTCTCTATTCTGACGTGGCAGGGAATTAACCTCTAAAAACCAATTCCCCCCAAAATAGGACATATTCCCCCTTTCGTTTTCAGAAATTGAGCGCGAGAGAGAGGGAGAAATAGAGAGTGAGCCATCATCGTTGAGGCAGTTGAAGGCAGAGATTTCAACTGATGGTGTTCCTTGGTGCATGCATTAGGTGATTTGCGGAGGACGACGAGTTGGTACGGGTTGACAGGAATGTGAAGGTTTGATTCTCATTATACCTATGAAATCTTTTGGTGGCTTTGAAGAGGATAAGTTAATCACGTATTTAGTTTGAGTTAAATGTAAGATTAACCTAAAATTTGTTGCATTTTGTTAGATTTGATAGAATTAGGGTTTTCAAAGTTGTGGTTTTTTTCCAAATAATGGGTTGAATTTGATAGAATTATTATCATTTTTCGTAAATTATGCAGATGGCTAAGCAAATTATGATTAAATATAGACATGGGGGGACATTGGACTTCGGAAGTAATGTGGCATACATTGGTGGTTCAGTTGATGTTGAGTTTTGTGATGCAGAAGATATTTCATTAGAACAATTGAAGATGAGTGTTACAGAATATGGTTATAACAATGTCGGGATGTTGTATTATTCTATTCCTAGTGTAGGACTGGCTAGTGGAGGTTTAAAGCCTCTAAATTCAGATCAGGATCTTGCAGAAATGATTGAGCATGCATTGAGGCACAGAGTGATAGAAATCTATGCAAATCACGATGTTGACATGCCATTAGAAGTGATAGAAGGTCCTACTTCAGTTGCTACTTCTCCTAAAAGAAATATTCCTATGGTTAGGAGAAAGAAGTTAACACCCAAGAAAAGAGTAGATGTAAAAGAGGGCCAAGTGAGTGTTTCAAACCCTACTATTGAACCACTGTCAATTCCCTCCAAATCACCACTGCCCAGTCCCTCCAATTCACCCCCTCACAAATCTGCACAAACATCTTCTAGTGATGATGATGATGACTCAGTGGAGGATGAAAATTTCAGGGTTGATCCCACAGAGCCATTGTATGATGATGATGGTGAAGATAAGGAATTATTTGATGAGTTTAGTGCAAAGAATAGATCAAGAAAGGGAAAGCAAATAATGAAGTCTAATAAGAATGTAGATGAAAGTGTTGGAGGAGGAATTGATGTAAGAGTAGGGGTTTCAAATGAGGATGATGGTGGAGATATAGACTCGGCAGAATCTGAAGATATTGAGAGCAAAGAATAGATCATGAAAGGGAAAGCAAATAATGAAGTCTAATAAGAATGTAGATGAAAGTGTTGGAGGAGGAATTGATGTAAGAGTAGGGGTTTCAAATGAGGACGATGGTGGAGATATAGACTTGGCAGAATCTGAAGATATTGAGAGCATAAGAGCACCATAACAAGCTAATGAAGTCAACACCAGTTCCATCCCTATTCATGATACAGATGCTGGAAATAACCAAGCACATATTGTGGGATTGAATGTAGTAGGTCCAAACTGTAGAGGCACAATTCCTAAAACTCAAAACTGGCCTAGTTTTTGGACATATTATGAAGGAGGCTATCAGAGTGATCAAAGAAGCAGTAATGATGAGGAACCATTGTTTGACAGTGATCATGAAGCACCTGAGATCAATATGAAAAAGAAAAAAAAAGAAAGAGTGAACTACAAGTATTTCAATGAGAGAGTGGATATGAAAGCTGTGTATTTTGAGCCAGTTATGCACTACAATAATTATTTCATTGTTTTATCTTAATTATAGGTATACATCATTGCACTACTAATCATTTATGTTTAATTTCTTTTTCAGGGTTAAAGTTTACTTCTAGGAGTGTGTTAAAGGAGGCTATTCTAAATTATTCTATTCAACAGCACTATGATCTAGTGTACATGAAGAATGACACTAAGAGGATTCACATGGGTTGTTCACTTTGCTTTTGGCAGATGACTGCTGGTCCAGATTGTCATGAGGCTGGTGTTTGGCAAATAAAATTTATTAATCATGATCATACTTGCTGCAGGACTTTTAAAAATAGATTAATAACTGATAACTGGATTGCACATGTTTATCTTGATAAAATTCTGAGGGATCCAAAGATGAAGCCAAGTAACATTGTATCTGACATTTATGAGAATTTTCAAATTAATGTCACATTGAAAAAATGTAGGAGGGGGAAGGAGAAAGCTCTAAATGCAGTCCAAGGATTAATGCAAAGACAATATGGCTTGCTAAAACCTTACATGAAAGAACTAATGAGGTCAAATGTAGGTACTACTTGTGTTCTGAAGGTAGATGAGGGAGAGGCAGGACAACCAAGCACATTTCTTAGATTTTACGTTTGTTTTGAGGCATTGAAGATGGGTTTCACTTTGGGGTGTAGAAGAATATTTGGTCTTGATGGTTGTTTTCTGAAACATGCTTGTGGAGGGCAATTACTTTGTGCAGTGGGGAGGGATGGTAATAACCAAATGTGGCCCATAGCATGGGCAGTGGTTGAGGGGGAGACAAGGAACTCATGGCAATGGTTCCTAAGAATTTTGACTGTGGATCTAAACATGAATGATGGTAATGGTTGGACAGTTGTGTCAGACCAACAAAAGGTTTGTGCAATGCTATCTTTATTTCAAATTTTTCTTTCATGAACTCATTGTGATTAACTATGTATGTATTTTAGGGATTGGTTCCTGCTATACATGAAGTATGGCCAGCAGTTGAGCATAGGCAATGTGCTAGGCACATTTATTCTAATTGGAGGAAAATTCATAGTGGGAGGGTCCTGCAAAGTCAATTCTGGAAATGTGTTAAAGCCACCTCTATGCCAATTTTTCAAACTGAAGCTGCCAAGCTAAGGATAATTTCAGAGCAAGCTTATGAAGACTTCATGGCTAGAGACCCCAACACATTCTGTAAGTCTCATTTCAAATGCCACAGTAAATGTGATGTTGTAGACAACAACATGGCCGAAACATTCAACTCTTTTATATTACTTGCAAGATATAAACCTATAGTGTCCATGTTAGAGGATATTAGATTATCTATAATGGATAGAATGCAAGAGAAAAAGAAACTGGTGAGTAAATTTGTGGGGGGAGTTGCACCTAGAATTCATAAGAAGTTGAAGGAAGCATATGAGGAGCAAGTTCATTGTCATGCCAATTGGAATGGAGATGTAAATGAAACTGGTTTTGAGATAATCCATAGAGGGCAAAGTCATGCAGTAGATTTGAAAAATATGACATGTACATGTAGGAATTGGGACTTGACAGGAATACCATGCACACATGCAATCAGTGCTATCTTACTTATGAGAAGGAAACCTGAAATGTACTTATCAGAGATGTATTCTCAAGAAAACTATTTGATTGCCTATGGAGGAATGTTAAATCCAGTACAAGGGAGTAATTATTGGGATACAGAGGGAGAGGGAATGGTGTTACCCCCAAATATTGTTAGAAGGCCAAAGGGGAGACCCAAAACTGCTAGGAGGAGAGACCCATCTGAAGGTTCCAAGCATCCTTCTAGGTCATCAAGGCAGGGATTAATACAAAAGTGTAGCAATTGTCACAGAACAGGGCATAGAAGACCCAGTTGTCCTGATGCAGCAACAAATCCTCCCAGGCCAACACATCAACAGGTATTGTAATGCCAATTATTTAGATATCTTTAATAATCTCATATGCAATCGTATTATCTAATTTCTCCATTGATTTACTTCTAGGAAAATCAATCTCAAGTTCTTGATGAAGGCACAAGTGGAAGGAAGAAAAGAGGAAGACCAAAGGGGAGCAAAACCAGACCTAACATTTCCATTGAAGAGCATAGTCAAACTAACACTCTTCCACCATCTCAAGTTTTCATAAATAAAAGATCAATGGCTAGAGGTAATGGACAATACATACTCTTGTGCACCAAGTTTTCATATAGATTCCTACTGATATATGAATTTGTTATGTATTCTGTAAGCTCAATCTCAAAATGCTAGAGGAAGGAGTGATATACGACGGGGCCGAGGCAAAGGAAGAAATAATGCAGTCATTATGCCAGAGGGTTTTGGCCTATGGCATGGTGATCATGGTGAAATAGCTTATAGAGATCCAAGTGCCTCTCAAGCAACAATCATACAAGATTCAACTCTAATTTCAACCCAGGATGTACACCAAGAGGAGCATACACAGGCTTCATGTGCACATAATAGTGGGTTGTAATTATATGTAATTATAGTTTAGCTTTTGGTAATATATAGACTTGATGTAGTTGAATGACTTTTTACTTGTTGCTGGTGATTGTAATCATGACAAACACATGACAATTGATGGTGACTAATGTAGTTTGGCTTTTGGTTAGTATGTTGATTGTGCAATGTGATTATGAGCTTCTGTGCAAGAACTTAATTCATGAATACAGGGCAATGTGATTATGAGCTTCTGTACATATAGAACTTAAGCTTGGAGTTACTGGTTTTTACGTTTGATTGTGCAATGTGATTATGAGCGAGCTTCTGTGCATGAACTTAAGCTTGTGAGTATGCTTTGTCACAGGAGAACTATATTGTACAGGTTCACTCACAAAGATAATTCATGAAAACAGGGTATACCATGACAAATTTTTCTCATAAACAGTGACAGATCTTCATGTTGCTTCTTCTCATTTAATTCATAAGTTCATACAATATGCTCTTAAACATTACATATCCATGTCCATAAACCAAAAAAAATACACAATAAAAACGACTACAAACAAAAGTGATATCAAACTTCCTCTCTTCAGCAACATCATCCTCCTCTTCTCCAATTGAAGCAAACCCTCTAATCTGAAACTCTCATCTCTCAATTTTGATATTTCTTCCAAAGAGCAAGCGTTCTCATCGTATAAAACCTGGAGCTGGTCTCTGAAATTGGCATTTTCAATATGGCAATCCTTCACTTCGGCCTCAACTCTTTGAATCTGCCTATCCCTGAGCTTCAATTCACTCCTCAAGTTAAGTATTTCATCTCGTAGAATAGGAAATAGAGTAGAAGACACATTGCAGAGAGGTCTATCGAACCATTCCCACATTCCACAGCCACCATTAGGATTCTGACATTTATAAAACCTTCTCCCAGGATTTTCATCTGTAAATGATGTATAATACCCACAATCCATTCTACACTTACAGATTTTCATGCCAACCGTCCTTGCTTCCTCGTTCCACCTTCTAATACCTGCCAAAGAATTCAAACCATGATTATTACTTACATGCGATCCCAATTTTCCACTCACCCTGCTTGCTTTAGATCGAGAGCTTGAATGAGAGCTTGAACTTGATGCCGATGACATAGCTTCTTCTCTTCCAATGGCCCGCTGTCATAAACCCTAATTCCCAATTTCCCCTAATTCGATCCCTCTTTTATTCTCCCTGCCACGTCAGAATAGA